GTACTAAAATGGCTGATTTATCCTCTTGGATAACGACATGGTCAGCTGTTACAATGACTGATTTATCATCAGTTTGAATGTCAAACCTCCTAGCACCTTTGGGAGGCAGCAAATAAGGTTTTAAGGAGAGAGTGCAACTCGACTCGTACTAAAAAGCTACTCAACTCAGGGTTCCATCGAATGGTTAACCTCTTGGGTAGCGACCGTTCTGGACGGAATTAATTTTGAATCTCAGGTAATACAATGACTTATTTATTATCAGTTTGAATGTCAAACCTCCTAGCACATTTGGAAGGCAGCAAATAAGATTTTAAGGAGAGAGTGCAACTCAACTCGTACTAAAAACCTACCCAACAATCCCTTTCTTCCCTGTGGTTGTTTATCCCAGAAATTCCCATAATTTTCTAGAAAAATAATAATCCTTTTCGTAAGATTATTATTGTGTTTATTCGACCTTATTTGTCAACATGTTTTTTGCACAATATTTAAGAAGCCAATTAGGAGAGAGAGGAGGGAGAGAAAATAAGGAAAAAGCAAAAAGAAAAAAAAAAAAGAAATCTGACGCAGGAAAACAAAGGTACAGCAGACGCGCCAGCTGGCAACTGCGTCTGCATCACACGATTGCAGATGATTGCTTTGTTTTTTCTTCTCAATCAGTGGTCCCCAACCAAGAACCTCTCCTTCAAGGAGAAAAAAAATCCAAAAAAACTCCACTCCACATTTGTTCCACACATGATTTTTACTGTACCCAAAATCTCCTAAAATCTATTGATATGGATGCTCTAAGGGGTGGAATAAGATTTTTATAATAAAAATATAAAATATTAAGTTGTAAAAGCACAAAAATTTGCTTGTAGTTTAGCAAAGTCTTATACGGAATTACAGATGTTGGTTTTATTGACCATTGGGGTAATCAAATGGCGGGCCAACACCACCAGAAAATAAATACTCTTTATTGCTTTTAAGCGTGTGAAAACTCAACCTCTTTCCAAGGTATACAAGGGTCTATTTATACTAGAATGCTAGCGCCTAAACTAGGCAAGTTCTCATTGTCATAAATGCATTTGGGATCCTCCTTCCAAATATAATTGATTCATTTCCTTAAGTTCAACTGATCTTCTTTCCTTATTACCTCCCTAAGAAGTCGGTCATATCGCCTACCGACATATTGCCTTGCCTAGTCAGTCAACTATGCTTCCTATCCGACTGCTCATGGCGCCTCAACACACTTTTCAAACAACTTTTCTCCTGATCAGTTTTATAAAATTTAAATCGATTCAAGTTGTATAAGATTTTATTTATGTCAAGTTAAAAATTAATTAAAATTGAATCGATGTGTCCAATTTAATACTCCGATCCGTAGTAAATTAACAACTTTAATCATAATTGAATTATCACAACTCACAAAAGTTTATATTTTTTTCTACCAATAAACATACACACTCGTGTATAAGAATAATGTCTCACGTGAGAATATAATACAAATAAATTTTGATTATTATTCATCACAAACATAGTAGACAAATGATATCTATATTTAAATGAAAAATGTAGTGATGATTTTATAAATACGTTGAATTTTCATTGCATCATTTTGGAGAAAAATAGTATGTATCATTTAGAAAAAATAACATTATTCTAGAAAAGAGAAAAATAACAAAAGAAGAAAGAAAGAAAGAAAAGAAAAGAAAACAACATCATTTTAGAAAAATCTAATAAAACATGCAAATATATATTTAATTATTTATTTATTTATTTGCACTATTTCTTGTAATAAATGTATTGTTCAAGGATCCAAATACCTTGGAGATATTGTTATATTTTGTATTCAACTCAATTATTTTTCTTTAATTTTAAGAAAAGCTAGGTCTTTATAGTTCAATATTTATAAAATTAAAGAATAAATTTAACACAATATATTTATAAATAATAATAATGATAAAATCCATGGTTCAACAATTGTTAAGATTTTAGAAAAGAAAAAAAAAACACTTTTTCTATTAGCAAATTAGGGTAATACATGGGTAATTTATAAACTAGATATATCTTTTAAACTAATAATTTTTATATTTTCTTAAAATATTTTTACTACCACTCAATCAATAAAGAATAAACTAGGGTCACCAGTTACACAATAAAACTTTTGTGAAGCAAGGAATATTCAAATGATTTAGACTACTTTTTTGAATCAAGTTTCAAAATGTTTGATGATAGAGTTTAGAGGACTTTTAAACAAATGTTGCATACACGAAAAAAAAAAAAAAAAGTTAAATAAGAGGACCAAAATCGTCATCCTCCCACATCTCAAACACCATATGTACAAAGAGCATATAGGATTAGGTAGCCATATGGGTGTTTTGGTAGTTAGGATACATTTGAGTAATAAATGTTACATATTTTATATACTAATACTAACAAATTAACAAAAAATTGGTTAAAATGTGATAATTGAAACTAGAATCAAATATCTAATAATCATAAGGTTTCTGTTTTGTAGTAAATTGAAATTGAAATCATTATTAAAGGAAGGAAAACATGGACTACTGGGGTCAAACGCGACAGTAAAGGAAAGAATTATATGACAATCATGCAATTATAGAAGAACAATCAAAGTCAACCTAAATTATCCTTTTTTTTCTTCCTAAAATCACTTTCTAAATCTCATTAATTACCCTACCTCACCATAAATGCAGTATTACCATATAGATCTCAAATTTTCGGGTCTTGTATTTCTCCCTATAAAAGCCTTAGTCAGTCACAAAGAAGGGGGGGGGGGGGGATCGAAACCCTCTCATCCCACATCTCTCTAGAGAGCACCCTATTGTACATGTACTAAACTACTAAAACAGAGTGAAATTTGAGCTTGACACCGCCCAAGAAGGTACATGATTTTCACCTTTCAATCTCCACGTAAAAATTATTGTATTTCTTTTTTTACTCTCAAATCTTTCATATTATATTTATTAAAGGGGTTATGTTGGACTACCTCGGTGGTCAATAAAACCAACATATACATTTGAGTAATAAATGTTACATATTTTATATATTAATACTAAACTAACAAAAATTTGGTTCAAATGTGATAATTGAAACTAGAACCAAATATCTAATAATCAGGTTTCTCTTTTGTAGTTAATTGAAATTGAAATTATTATTAAAATTAAACAAAAAGACAAAAAAAAAAATCAACAAATTTTGACAAGTCAAGTTTTATTTTAATAACTCTAAGGTAAAATATTAGCTCCATTATTAATGTAACATCTCTATATCTCTATCTCTATCTCTATATATATTAAAGCAAAATAAAGTAAGGAAAAATTTTTCCCATCAAAATAAGATTAGCAATATGAATACATTTATTGTGTTTACGGTTGATATGGTTAATCCCTGTATATCTAAGACGGATGTATGAACCATGATGTATGTATGAATAACATAGAGTAGACAATAAGAAAATAGCTAAAGAGATCCTCTTTTATTTCTAATTGTATGTTTGTAGATAGAGGGGAGAGTGTTTAGATACTAATACACTTAGAGAGAGAGTGTGTAGGGTGGAAGAGGAGGAACCCCCAAAAATGGAGGGTCAAGTGCCCTTAATATAGGTCAAACCAAGTCGGGTTTGACCTTGACCCGTTGACTTTGACCCAAATCGTTTGACCCAACCCAAATAGGAGCACGGAGCGTATGAGGAGCCTGAACCCGGAGTATATTCCCCATCAACGGTAAATTTTATATTTAATATAATTTGTGTGTGTGTGTGTGTATATATATATATATATATATATATATTCATTTAAACCTCAATTATAATTAATTTGACTCCACATATATAAAAAGGAGAAATTAGATATAAAATAAACATAGTTCTTACATAAATAATCTTTTTAAATTTTTGACAAATATTGCTTCTTATTTTATTTATGTAATTAAATTAGTTATTTCAAATTCAAATAATTAACAAGTAACAACAAACTAACTATATTACATTATTGTATATATTCAAACATACTTTCTCAACCAAGCACACAAAGTCAACAACGTCTCCACTAGGGCTCGATATCATGACCTCCCACATGGGAGATATCACTACATGTCATATGAGCATAAGGTGCCTGACTTAGACTTACATTTTTAATAAAACTAATTTTTCTTAGTATCATAACACTAGAACAATACCTATAAATTTTTGTCCGTGCATCACACAGGGCAAATACTAGTAAATACATATGTAAATATATCAAATTAATAAATTCTTCTTTGATAATGAATTAAATGTTAAACGGAAGTTTTTTTTTTTCTTTTTGATAGACCACGAGGTATCTTGAGCATACTCTAACTGTATGATATGCATTTAAGCCCGTACCATACTAAGACTAATATCCGTTCGCACCGGACCGGTCCAATTAAGGGTCAATGTGCTCGCCATATTGGTTCCTTATTTGAGTCGGCCCAGTGTGAATGGGAATTACACCTCATGGCCTGACCAAAACGGAAGTTTTTCTTTATTTATTATTATTTATTTTTTTTACAAAAATTTAATGACATTGGAATTCTATTTCTGAATTCAATAAAAGTTATGCATGAAATATGTTTATGACTTACTTTATTATAGTAAAATTATGAGCCAAACGTCCTCCAATATTAATAGGAATTATAGGCCGATTATGGTGTTTCTCGACGCGGTCCGGTAGCGTCTAGGCGCAATTTTTATAACTATGTTAAAAATAGAAAAAATTATGAAAAGAAAAGTATCTAAAAAATAATAATTGAGATGTTAAAGTGTAAAAATGATAATTTAAAACTAAATTTGAAATTATTATATCAAAAGACAAGAGATTTCCGGTGGAATTAACTCTTTTTATTTTGTACGTAGAAAAGAGGGGACAAGATTTTGTTCTCCTTGTTTCTGTTTGCTTTTTTTTTTTTTTTTTTTGAGAGTCCTTGTTTCTGTTTGCTGTGTACCCATTTGTTTATATATTTATAAAGATTTTATGCTATATTTCTACCGTCATATTCATATACTACGCGCTTCAGTTCTCCCGAAGAAGAAGTGAAGAACCACCATAAGCATATTCTTTTACTCCAAATTATCTTCATATATTCTTCACTCTCCTCGATCACCGTTGACATTTAATTCCCCGAAACCTTTTCCATTGTTTTGCTACATCTCTGAATTCCTCTTCATCATCTCCAACAAGATCCAAGCTTTTCTGTGTCGGTTTCCGCCGCCATTTCCGGCGGCCGTTGACACTTCCCGCCGGCCGGAAGTTTAAGGTTTTGTTTACTTTTTTTTTTTTTTTTTTTTTTTTTATTTTGCTTTAATTGAGTGTTATTTATTGCTGCTATTATTGCGAAAAGGTTGGAAACTCCGTTTCTCTCTCTCTCTCTCTCTACACGAGGGGAGAAGATACAAGATAGCGGTTTGGACTCGTGTAGTTTCTCAGTTTCAGAGCTGGGTCTGATCCGGTTTTATCGGTTTGGTTTAACTGATATGATTGTATCTATTATCTCTGCCTTCGTTCCGTGCATCTGCGTATGAGTGGTGGACACGTACCCTAGATTCTCCGGAGCAGAAGTCAATGCTCTGATCTGAGCCGTCGTCTACAAGGCCACCAATTTTCACCGCCAGAATTTGAGTTTTTGTGTTTTTTTTTTCGCGCCTCCAGGATGTTGAGAATGAAGACTAAAACCACCTCTCCGGCGGCGGCGAACGGCGGCGGAAGTGCGAACGAGTGGGAGATGAGGCCGGGGGGAATGCTGGTGCAGAAACGGAGTCCAGATTCGGAAAACCTACCCCCTCCTCCTAATATCCGGGTCCGGGTCAAGTACGGGTCTATCTACCATGAAATCAGTATCAGCTCCCAGGCCACTTTCGGTAAGTTTGTTTTTCCATTTCCTTCAATTTTATAGTGTCTCCAATTTTATGGTATTTATTTGAAGAATTGGATTTGCAGGGGAGTTGAAAAAGATGCTGACAGGGCCAACTGGGATGCACCATGAAGATCAGAAGCTTTTGTTCAAGGACAAAGAGAGGGACTCGAAAGCCTTTCTTGACATTTCAGGGGTGAAGGATAAGTCCAAGATTGTGCTAATTGAGGACCCTATTAGCAAGGAGAAAAGATATGTTGAGATGAGAAAAAATGCTAAGATGGAGAAGGCTGCAAAAGCCATATCAGAAATTAGCTTGGAGGTTGACAGGCTAGCTGGTCAGGTAATAATCAATCTAATCTACAAATCTTATACTATGCTTGCCATAATTGTTCATATTACAATGGTGGGTTCTTAATTTCTTATTGTTTTGTATATGAACTGATTTTAGTTTATTCTAGATCATAGGCTTATGTATTGTGGAAACCAATTTATTGAATTGATGAGATTAAATAGGTTTCTGCACTAGAATCTGTGATTTCGAGAGGTGGGAAAGTTGCAGAGAGGAGTGTTATTAATGTGATCGAGTCATTGATGACTCAACTGGTTAAATTGGATGGTATTGTTGCTGAAGGGGATGTTAAAGTGCAAAGGAAAACACAGGTGTGTAGTGTGTTCTTAGTTTGCTACATAGAGATTTGATGATCAAGTACTCGATTTGATTTGGCTATTGTATTTGACTTTAGGTGGCGAGGGTGCAAAAGTATGTCGAGACTCTAGATGTGTTGAAACTCAAAAACTCGGTGCCAACTAGCAATGGTAATCACACTCCAATAGCTAGGGGGGATTCACCTGTACTAACGCCAAAACACCAGGTAGAGCCCTCGAGGCACTCGGCCTCGGGGCCTGTTGTGATAACTACACAATGGGAAACCTTTGATCCTGCCCCGGCTCCTTTGTTGGACCCCTTTTCAACAGTCACGAGCACCTCGGGTTCAGCCCACCCGAGAGTCAGCTGGGACTTGCTTTCTTAAGTAGTATGACCAAGAATCTGTGCCATTGTGTGGATATGCCGTGGCTTGCATTTCTTCTTCAAGTTGGTTTGATTTCGATTCTCCATTCTTTTCTGTATTTACAGTTTTTGGTATAGACACGTGAGAAATAAACGGGGTTACCACACGTTGTAAGATGCTCCCTTCAATGGTATTTATCTCTGTTTTCTGTAGGTTAATTGATACATATTCAGTCATGTGTACATTGATACTTGGATATTACTAGGATATGGTTATCATAATCTTCAATGAAGAATATAAGTATTTTGGAAGATTGCATTAATCCTCCTTTTGTGTCTTTTATATTTCTTGATGAATAATTATAATGTTGTTTATTCATTTGCTTCCTATTTTGGGCACAAAGTGACATAAGGGAACATGAAAATGTGGATTTTTTGGTGATTGAACAACTAATGATTGAAGGAAAGATATGATTAAAGTGATTAAAATTGGATTTTGTTTAACCACTATTGATAGCTTTTCATTATATGTAGTTATGATTTAATTGCAAGTTCGAAGCCCTTTTAGCCCCCTTTTGTTGAGACTCTAGTGGATGAAGGAAACCTTTTTCAATCCAACTTTTAAGCTAAGGAAATTACTAAGAAACTTGTACAGTATTAGTATAAGCTACTAACTTCAAGGGAATCTCCAATGCATATACAAAATAGAGGAGAAAGAAGAGGAGGAACAGGGAGAGAAGAGTTGGTATATCTAGTATTTAAAATTGTGTATTCTATTTTAAATGTTAATTTGTTTCATAGATGATTTCAAAGAGGAATATTAATTTATGAAATTATATTTTGATTAGTTTATGAAATTATATTTATTCTATTATTTAAAAATTAATTTATTATGTTATTTGAAATCAAAATTTTGAAATTATAATTATATAATTAAAAAAAGAAAAATTTTGAAAACATATAATTAAATTATTAATTATAGAAAAGTGAATAAGTAGGAGTGTGGAGGAGTAGGGCCTACAAAAAGGGCAAATTTTACCGTGTGGACCATGGTTCATATAGTAATGTGGTGCATAATCTAAGTATCATTTTAATTAGAGTAAATGATATATATATATATATATATATATATATATATATATATATATATATATATATATATATATTGATTGCCTAAGTTAAGAGAAGGTCCATGCTCAACTTAATTAGTGAAATAATAAGAAAAAGAAATATATTAAATTTTGCATTGTGAAAAATATAATAGAGCAAGATATTAAGTAAAATGAAATACATATAATACAACACTTAAAGTAACGCATTTGTCTTTCATGGACCAAACTCGTTTGAATCATGCATATATATACATTATAAATTTGAAGTAACATGCATGATAGATATAAATACACATAAATTCTAATCGCAACAGCAGAATTCAGACGCAATGAAACTCCCGTCTCATTTCACTTCTACCTTCAGATTGATACAACATAAACCTGGAAGAAGAAAAAGAAATATGTTACTCTTCTAAGAAGACTTGTCCTTGTCGTCTGAATCGTATAATAGAAAACGAAATTGGAAAACGCCTTCATTGCCGTCATTGTTGAAATATGCAGGGTCGATCTCCTCAGCAGTGAGTAAAGGAAAGAATTCATTCCAAGCATCTGGCAGGACAGAGTTTTGGGCTAACGAACATTGTGGAAGATTTGGGTTTTGTTGGGTTGTTGAAGTTGCAATGGAGTTAAGGTTTTGGGTTGAAGGTTGTGAGTGATGGAAGTTTTGCTGGGATGAAGTTGCAACGAAGGTAGAGTTTTGAGATGAAGATAGTGAGTGATTGGGGTTTTGCATAGATGAAGTAGTTGCAATGAAGTTAGGGTTTTGGGTTGGTGATGGTGGGCGATTGGGGTTTTGCATGGTAAAAGTTGCACTAAAGTTAGGGTTTTGGGTTGGATATAGAGATGAAGTTGCATTGAAGTTAGAGTTTTGGACTGGTGATGGTAAGTGATTGGGACTTTGCATGGCAAAAGTTGCATTAAAGTTAGGGTTTAGGGTTGGATATGGTGGGTGATTGGGATTTTGCAAGGTTGAAGTTGTAGTGAAGTTAGGGTTTGAACAAGGAGTTGGAATGAGATGAGAGCTTTGGAGATTTTTCATAGGATTTGTGTTATTGCTCTTAGATTCTTGATTGTTGCCTATGTTCTTCCTCTCTCCGTGATAATAGATAACACAAAGTGCCAACTCATGTTCTGTCTGCACATGGTAAAATAATTTTCAGGTTAAAACAAAAATATTTAGCAATGAAATTAAATATATATTTCTTAAAGAATAGTAGCGTTGCAATAATTCTTCAATAGTTCGTAGTTTGCACGTTTAAGGCTGGTTCGCATCTGACCGCAATCCTGATTACCTTACAGGCTTACATACATGTTTGGGGTACATTGACAACCCTAATATTAAATATTTAACACTTCAAATAAATTTAAAGTAGATGAGAAGATTTGAGTACCTGATTATAAAGTGGGAGATGATTGAAATTTTCAGGATATCGAAACTCTGACATGAGCCAAGAAGTTTTGCTGCCTTTACCATCGTGAAACACCAAGGATTGTTTGGTGCCGATCACTACTCCCCCGCCGTCTTTCACCTTTTCTCGTGCCTGAGAGGCTTTCCAGAAACCCTTCCCACCGCCCACCACTCTGTCGCCTCTCTTTCCCTCTTTAGTCTTCCTCTTGAACGCCGTAAAGAAATACATTCGCCCATTCCATTCATTCAAACCATAAGCACCTGCATATACATACACATATCAGGAATGAGTATCAAAGTCATTGTTATTGTTTGGTTGACAGGTTTTGAAAACACTACTATGAGTTTTGATTACCTCTTAATTGAAAAATTCATTCTCTAATAAAATAAAGGTTTCATTCTATTATTCTTCCTCATACATAATCAAACAGCAATATTGATAATCATTCATGCATATTCCACTCTACCATCAAACATGCAAAATACTTTTATCAAAACCCATTACCATTACCAAGTATTTGATATTAATTCTGATTCCGATTCTCATGTGCGAACCAAACACCCCTAAATTAATTAGCGTTACAAACTACTATACCTTCAAGTTCTTTAGGATGATGGTCGTAAATATCAAGATCGTTAATGATTCCTGGGTGAATTTTCAGATTTTGAGCCCTGTATTTGAGATATTTGGTAATGAGTTCTTGATCAGTGGGATAAAAATCATGTCCGGGAGGCAGGCTTCTCTTCCACTCATATTCATCACCATAGCCATTAGGTAGTTTATTAGCACTGCAAGAAGCCATGACCACAACGTAACTCTGATATGATGATCTCTGGCTTTTTTTTATTATTATTTTTTCTTTTCCTTTAGTGGAGTTGATTAATGAGGCTATTTATACAGAAGAATTGTTGAATGACTACTTCTAATCTCCTAGTTAAGGACAGTTTAGGACAAATCCAAATCATAATCCCGTTTTAAATAGGATTTTAAGGATTAGACAATATTATATTTTAGATTATGCACATAACTAATACTCTGTAATAATAATAAATCTAAATATAATTATTAATTATATCCAGTCAAGAAATTAAAATGGGGTTGAAATAATTTTTGATCAATCAATAAGAAATTGACCCACATTTAAAGAACTAATTTTAATATATAAAAATATAGATATATTATATATGGGTAATTATAATAAAAATAATATTTTATAGAATTTTTCTTTGGTGCCGATTGTGCCAATTATAATATACTATATACTCGGTTATAACATGTTCATGTACTATTAACAATTATGACAACTGGTTTTTTGTCTGTTTTGGATTTGTGATTTTTATCCCGCATGTTTGTATTGCTGAGTTTTTGAGTTTTTAATGAATTTTTTATTCTTTGGTTTCAAAAAAAAAAAAAAAATGTTGACAAAGTAGCAAAAAGACATATGACGTCAATTTTTTTTTATTTTACCCATTTAATGTTGAATTTTTTAGATAGTAATAAATCCGAGTGTAGTGACACCAAAAAATCCGAGTGTAGTAGTATCAAAATTTTACAACGTTTTCTTGTTCAATCCCAGAATATTTACATTCATCTCTTCCTTCCGAAACAAACCTAATCCTCCACTATGCCAATCTTATCAATTCAATCCCAATTTAATTTTTAAACACTGCAACTTATTTTGTTCTAATATGGTTTCCATAAAAAAAAAAAAAAAAAAAAACAACAACAATTGTCGCCTCTTTGAGCAATCGTTATACCGTGCGCCCCGCGCCTCTCAAAACAACATCGTTTAGTTAAGTTGTTAAAAAAAATCATCTATTTCGAATGCACATAAACTCATAACAGAATACACATAAACTCATAATAGAATACACATAATCTACATAATAATACATAATACACATAAACTTTTAACTGAATACACATAATGGGGTTTGGTTAACATAATACACATAAACTCTTACTGAATACACATAAACTCATTACACAATACACATTAAACTTTTAACTGAATACACATAATGGAATTTGGTTAACATATAATACACATAAAGGCCTTGTTTGGTTATTGACGGATTCGCCGTTTTCAATGTTTTGACCATGTCAAAACGTTGAAAACTATGTTTGGTAAATGGCGGTTTGGAGCAACGGATTTGCTCCAAACTGCCAAAATCTGAAACGCTGCTATGTGCAGCGTTTCAGAATGGCGTTTTGGGCTTTTGCCCAAAACACCCTTAATTCTTTTTTCTTTTTCTTTTTTTACTTTATTTTTTGTTTAATAATTTTAACAGAAGCCTCAGGCTTCTAAATAAAGAAGCCTGAGGTTTCTTTTTTCCTACCCATCCGATGTGGGACATCGGATGGGCCGGAATGAATAAGGGGCGTTGAGCTCCCTTTTTAATGGGGAGCTCAACGCCTCCATTTCCTTCACATTTCGATCCCACATCAATTTTAGTTTTTTTTTTTTTAGTAATTTTATTTATTTATTTATTTATTTATTTATTTATTTATTATTATTATTATTATTATTATTATTATTATTATTATTATTATTATTATTATTATTATTATTATTATTATTATTACATCAATTTTTTTTTTTATTATTATTACCTTTTGGTCATTTTACATATTAACCGCTAATCTAAACAACTAATTTTACCAAACGTTTTTTTACAAACCGCTAGTACAATTCGATGGTCAAACTCGTAATACAATCCGCTATTTGATAACCGTTAATACGATCCGCTACCGCTAACCGCTGATAACCAAACAAGCCCAAACTCTTAACTGAATACACATGAACTCATAACACAATACACATAAATTTTTAATTGAATACACATAATGAAATTTGGTCTGTTCGGATGGACGGAGTGACGTCAGTATGACATCAGCATGAAGCGCGCGCGTTTTGTGCCTGGATGTACATTGCTATGTGTGTCATGGTGCACGATATAAATTGTCCTCTTCAATCTTTATGCCATGGAACCGTGTTCACCATCCATGGTGAACACGGTCCCAACAGTAACGGTGCACCGTTGATTTTTTTTTTCTTTCTTTTTTCTTTTTCTTCTTAATTAATCGCGCGACTTTTTTTCTTCATTTTCACATTTTGCAGTTTCACTTCCTGTTCGTGCAAGCTTCTTCAACATTCATAAATTATGAATGTGCAGTCATGAATTTATGAATGTGTAGTTATGAAATTATGAATTTTCTTTTATGAGATTATGAATTTATAGTAAGTTCATAATCTCATAACAGAAAATTCATAATTTAATAAATGTTTTTCTTTTATGCGATTATGAATTTTATTTTATACGATTATGAATTTTCTGTTATGAAATTATGAATTTACAGTAAATTCATAATCTCATAACAGAATATTTATAATTTAATAAATATAAAATTCATAATATGAAAAAACGGCGCCGTTAAGAGCACATTAACTAATTTTTATTTTTATTTTCGTAAAAACGATGTCGTTTGGGCCCGTGTTCACCATTCATGGTGAACACGTTTTCAGGACATAATTTGCGATACAAGTAGGGCAAATTATTCTGTGGCCCATGGTCCACACAGTATTATGTGAACCATAACAAAAAGTACATTTTTAATATATTAAATGTACATTATTTTTGTACTAAGTGTACATTATACAATATAATGTACACTCAGTACAAAAATAATATACATCCCCTGAATACAATATATGTAATGTAGATATGTAACACAATATAAAGCAATAAATGAAGCACCTAAATAAGTACACATCTGAATTTGATAACTCAGTTGGATAAAACCTCCTAATCTGCGAAGCCACGCCCAAAAACTTTTTCAATCAAGATCCACCCGCGATTTTTATAATTACGAGGTTCAATTCAATGAATTACAAAACTAGGTCTACCACTTATTTAAACATTTAACCCCATAAAATAACTATATGAAAAAGTTTACATGTATAGCTTGAACTAATTCTACCAATAAAACAAACTGTAACTGATAGGGATTATTCCCCGACCGTAGGTCAGATGATCGGTCATGGGTTTTCGACGCCTAAGGGATACGACCCGACCTGACCGTCTCGCATAACCTCCCGACCTTTTGTCTCACTCGACCTCCCTTGTGGGCAAGCCCATAGGTCGCTTGAAGGCTAATTGGTGAACCGACCTCCGGAGGTCGAACAGACCTGGTGAGCTTCTTGCGGCATAGTCTTGTCTCGTCAGGGATATCATGACACATGCTTAGGATCCCTTCCGCCCCGACCTGGTCATGTGCATTGGCACCACGTGCCCGCCATGCCGAGGGCCCGGAGCCTGCCTCCTCTCCATCTCTATAAATATCGCATTTATTACTGAGAGAAGGACTTTTTACCTACTTCACAATCAGTATTCAAGTTCGGGACTCTTGACAATGGAGTAGGTGAAGAGTTAATTTGATTAATAAATTGTGAATAAGACAAGTAATTAAAGTGCAATAGGGGTATAATATTTATGTTTATGAAGTTCACTTTAATTTGTAGTTAGATTGCAGGCTAGGGTATAGTACATAGGATGAAATTCCTAAAAATGTCTAGGTTGGGGACAATGAAATGGAAGCATTCAAATCAGCAAGACATTCACTTGGGAGGCTAAGGAAAGAATTCAAGAAAACATCATCAATTGGTTGGACTGTTGCCACCCCAACCAGTCTGCAATTATTATTCTTCAGCCTCTCACCTCTTCCTTTCTTCATCTTTCCCTTCGATTCCTCCGATGTAAGAACTGTTTCAACTACCAATGGCGGCGCTCTGTACACACTCCCGATTGAAAACCAGAACTTCGCCCGGAACTCAAGATCAATCTAAACTCAAAAAAAAAAACAATTTTTTTCTTTTTAAAAAAATGAATTGAACAAGCTTAGGGTAAGAATTATAACTCAACATTTAATCATTCGAAAAATGACATTTTTTCCCACAATTATATGCTTATGATACTTTTTTTTCCGAATTATTCATATATCCACATTAGTTCTTTCAATTATTTTAAAAGTGTTGATTTCTTTCTTTTATGTTAAAATGAACATTTCTACCCTTAAAATAAGGGCGAAATAAGTATTTAATTTATTTTTCTTTATCACCAACAAAATTATTGCTTATACGTAGGAATTAATGCGAAAAATAGTAAACACCATTTGTAAATATTATAATTATAATTTTAAGTGAATGCTAATAACAGAATTAAGACTTTTTTTTAAAAAGAAAAGAAATACTCACATATACAATCTATGCTTACACCGAGGCTCGAACCCTAGACCTACCACATAAAGGAACACTCCGTGTACCACAAGCCACTTGGTTAACAAAATTAAACCTAACAAAAATAATTCATTAATGCTAAATTTAGCATTAATGAATTATTATTTGTGTTTAAGTCTTTGTTATTATTAGGTTAAAATTATAATTATAATATTTGCAAATAGTACAGTTCTTTTTGTATTTATTCTGATTCACATATACAATTAATAATTTGTTGGAGAAGGAAAATAAATAAAATACTTGATTTGTCCGTATTTTAAGGATAAAAATGTCTCTTTAATAAAAAGGAAGAAAAATCGTCATTTTTAAAATAACTGAGACACTAATGTGAATAATTTATTGGAAAAATCACTATAAGCATAGGGAAAAAAAATGACATTATTCCCCCTTAATTATTCCTGCATATATAATATGTTACCTTGCCTGATTCTTGGTTGATGGTGCCTGTGAAGAGCTCCGGTACGATGTCAATTTTCAACAGCGGCGGCAACGGCAGCCCCAAGAACTTGGTGGTGGCGGTGGTCAACGGCGGAATGTACACGCTTTTCAACTCGAAATCAACTGAGATTTCATCGTCTTCTCCATTCTTTATGCCTTTTCCACTCCCCCTCCCACCTTCAGCATTGTACTCGAAATCCGGGTATCTAGAAATCCCAAGCTTGCAGGCTCCCAGGGTCCTGAACTCAACGTCGTACACCACATCATCGGCGGTCGGAACCGGAGATTCAGTGGCTGTCGTAGTTGAAGAAATTGGGTGGAATAATCTGCAGGTTTTCAATGGACGATGAAGTCTGGGAAGTGGAGATAGATAGTAATTGGGTATATATTTTGGAAGCCTGCATGAGAGTTGGGGATTAGGGAAGTATGCTTGACAACCCATTTTCTAGTACCTATTTTATTTAAGGTTGAAGATCTCTGCCTTTCTGAGATGGGAAAAGGAAAAAAAAATTATAATAAAAGTTTGAGGCTATGGAGAAAATGTGGAGAGTGTGGTGTGAGGCTTAATTGTTTTGTGTCCACAAATGAGGGGACCTTAGCTTATCATGGACTAGGAGAAAAAATATCTTATCTTGTGGATGGCCATTCTTTGTCTTCTTTATCTTTTGTCATATGATCCCTCTCCAACAATTATATTGTAGCCACTTTGACATAAATTTAGGCCGGGTAGCTAAGTTTGGAAATTCGAAAAATGAGTTAGGGAATTTTTTGTAGCCATTTTTTAATTTTTTGTGTTTGGATATTCAAAGAAAATATTTATTTTGGTCAACGAAAAAATGTTTAATTTGACAAAAAGTATTTTTCTAAATTTTTAATCAGAAAACATTTTTTGGATTGTTTATTTTCATGTCTCTGTCTTCTCTCTTATCTTTCTTCAAGCTAATTTTCAAATTATTATTATTAACACTTCCACCACTATCATCACCAACACATTGCACCACCACCACACCTTATTAAAATTTTTAAAAAATGCAATTTCTTAACACCATCACCACTGCCACCACCAAACCCACCGCACCTTAAGAAAAACGGCAAGCAGTCACTGCTGCACGTTCAAAGTCATTACACTTAGGGGTGAGCATCGGTCTGTTGTACTGCACGTTCAAAGTCATTACACTTAGGGGTGAGTATCGGTCCGTTACTGAACGTAACTTACTGAAAATTGAATAATTGACCAGGGGTAGATATTTTTTAATTTTCATAACAAATCGAAACCAACTGTTAATATAGATATGAGCAAATGAAAATCGAAGTTTAGTTTTCAATTGATTACTGAAAGCCCAAAGGTCATAACCCATCTAAATATTCAAATTACACTAGTTATGCTAAACTAAAAATAACACACACACACACATTATCCGTTATTTGGTGACCGAGGTCTTTGGATGTCTATAACCGTACCGACTAATAGCCAATTCATTAATGATTGCCTACTGAAAATCCAAATTTTCAGTCAATTCAGCTATCAGTTTCACCGATTTTGTGGTAATTATGCTTATCCCTAACTAGTAACTACACTATTATAGGTTCATAAAATCCCCATTGTATGTTCATAAAGTCATTATTATAGATTTATAAAATCATTACTACAAGTTCATGAAGTTATCTTTGGAGGTTCATAAAGTTACTATTACAAATTTATGAAGTTATTGCTATAGGTTCATAAAGTCATTATTATAGGTACATAAAGTCATTGTTGCAAGTTCGACACACAATTACTGAAATTAGGGGTGGGTACTTCGATTCGGTTTATCCGAACCGAACCGAATCGATCCGAACCGAGCTGAACTAGTAATAGAAAACCGAATGGTTCGAAATTTTGTAACCCGAATGGTTTAGTACCGAACCGAACCGAAACCAAACGGTTTGACAAAAACCAAACCGAACCGAATGCTATATATTTTTTTTAATAAATAATAATAATAATAATAATAATAATAATAATAATAATAATAATAATAATAATAAATTAATAATAATAATAATAATAATAATAATAATAATAATAATAATAATAAAGAAGTAAATCCAAGTTCCTTGATGCTTGCTCCGCCGTTCAGTTCTCATTCTGGTACTGAACCTTAAATTTTTTTATTTGATTTCTTTATAGATTGTTTTCTACATTGCACTTTTGTTGTTTGTCGCAATTGTTCTTTACCTCACAATTATATCTAACTTGAGTTATATTTACAATATTCAGTATTTTCCTTAGTTTCATGTTTTTCTATAAATTTAATGTGCTTTACAATCATTCTAATTTTGATTTCCAGTGCATTATAATTATTTTTTAGTACTGGAATATATTTCGAGTGCACTAGCAATGACAAATTGTGTCCAAAAATTAACTATATAGTAATTGACACTTGTTCTTTTAATATCAACTATACAGATAAATGATTATTCATCTTATCAATAAAAATATTCCAACTGAATATTTTTATTTGATGTTTCATGTTTGTACTCTTTAAACATTGGATTTGAAGTTTGAACTACGTGATTCATGTTTGTAATGTTTGAACTTTGAACTTTGGATTCTAATTTCTAAGTATTTGATGTTTTGGTAATTAGATTGCTATTAGTATGTGATGTTAGTATTTACTATTTAGTAGTATGTTTAAACTTTGAATTATTATTTTGTTATATAACGTTTATATTTTAGATGTGGATTATGTGAATAGGTATTGTTTGGTAGTATGTTTAGAAAATTATGAAATGTTGAAATTTGATGATCGTAATTCTCGTAAAGTCTTCAACCGAACCGAAGTCCGAACCGAATTAACTCCGAACCGAAACCAAACCGATTGAAACCGAACCGAAGCCGAACCGAACTATAATGTTAAACCGAATGGTTCAACTTTTCTAAAACTGAAAAACCGAAATCGAAACCGAAACCGAAAAAAACCAAACCGAAAATCGAAGTGCCCAGCCCTAACTGAAATGATATATTGAGAAAAAGAAAAAATGCCGGTTTTAGTCTATTATTAGTTATGCATAAATTATATAGACTCATTCAATGAATTATTACCCTATACAAAATTTCCTCGTTAATTATATTGAAAGTAATAGTTTCAATTCATTACTTATAAATTTTATTAGCATTAACAATTTATTTTAAAATTTCAAATTATTAAAGGACATATTAGTCATTTTGTAAACTTTTTCTAAATTCCCTCCATGAATCTCCACATATATATATATATATATATATATATATATATATATATATATATATATATATATATAGACACACACACACACTAACTACTCTTGCCGCAAAATCCTTGATAAATACTTGTCTATCTTGACTGATGAGGAATATGAGAAACAAGATATTACTTAGGATTGTAAATAGACCGAATTGTAAGTAGTTTGATATATTAGTTTCTTTGAAAAGAATATATTAGTTTATTATAATTTTCAATTCTATTGTATGTAAATTATTATTTTTGATATTTTATTGAGTTCATATCTTAATCGGTAATATATATATATATATATATATATATATATATATATATATATATATATATATATATATATATAGTGAAAGGTTCCCGTGCGGATGTGCGGTGGATTAATGTGCGTGAGATTTGTACTCAATGTGCGTGAGTGTTGTGCTTAATGTGCCTGAGATTTGTACTTAATGTGTGTGAATGTGTAAAATGCAGCAAAAAATATTGATGTCAGCTTCTTCCCCATCCCCAGTAGCCATTGCCCCATCCCTGATGATGATGATGCAAAAGCGGGCTATGGTGGTTAACAATTATGGGAATAATACAACAGAAATCCACACTTAGTTGCTGTGCAAATTTTACTGTGCGTGCGTCATCTATATAAACATTCAACTGCACTGAAGGTAGCTGATAATCCTAAATCCATGGCCAAATTGAAGGAAGAAGTAACAAGAAGCTTGGGCGTTAATGTGCGTGAGTTTCTGTTCTGCTTCCTTCTGAGCTCGTAATTATGAAATACTCACGCATATTAAACACAAATCTCACGCACATTAAACACAATACTCAGGCACATTAAGTACAAAACTCACGCATATTAACATGACGCACATTAAGTACAAATCTCAGGCACATTGAGTACAAATCTCACGCACATTAAGTATAAACCTCACGCACATTAATCCACCGCACATCCGCACGGGAAGCCACAAATGCACCTGATCCCTTCCCTATATATATATATATATATATATATATATATATATATATATATATATATATATATATATATAGAGAGAGAGAGAGAGAGAGAGAGAGAGAGAGAGAGAGAGAGAATCGCACTCACATGCGAATGCTTCGCCAAGGAGCGAAATAGGAATGGATTTTGTTCGTCCACGTGTCCAGATCTAATGGATGAGAAACACTGATTTATTAAAAAAGCGCGGTGGCATTTTCGTAAATAATTGAACATCAAAGTGCAAGTAAAATGTATTACAAGTGCATGTAAAATGTATTATAGGTGCAAGTAAAAATTTACACTGAGCATCAATACTAAGTGCACCTATAGTTATAAGTAGTTGCACCTATAGTTCTAAGTAGTTGCACACATAGTTATAAGTAGTTGCACCTAGGTGCATGAATGTTTGCGGGTGGTTTTCAGGGGTACTACTACCCGCTGAACTCAAATCAATGAATGTTAACAATGCAAAATTACATGCACTTATAGGTGTAAGTAGGTGCACCTATAGTTATAAGTAGTTGCACCTATAGTTATAAATAGTTGCACATATAGTTATAAGCACACCCAGATGCATAAATGTTTGCGGGAAGTGAATGCTAACAAGGCAAAATTACATGCACTTATAGGTGAAAGTAGGTGCACTTGTAAGTGATTTTACTTACACTTCGATGTTCAATTATTTACAAAAATGCCACCGCATTTTTTTAAGCTATTAGATCTGGACACGTGTCGCGTGCTGATTCGTTCACATATTCCTTCCTGGACACTTATTCGCACCTGAGTGCATCCCTATATATATATATATATATATATATATATATATAATTTAGTTATTAATATATTAAAATAACTATTTAAAAAAATTATTATGTAAGTGAAAAATAATACATTGTTGCTCGAGAAGGCGTTTCTATGTCAAAGTTGCGGAGAGTGGTTTGATAATTCTCCCTATTATCTTGTTGATTGTCTTCTTTCTAATTTAATGAATTAATTTCTTATTCTAAAAATAAAATATTTACCTTCAAAATCTAATAGTAAATATTCAAATGTTGTTTCCCATAGAATCTTCATTTCTAATCCATCTCAGAATTCTGCTCCATCAATAACATACAAGTTTATTCATAAGGAAATAATAATGAATATAATACATGGGAAAATCGCACTTTTGGTCCCTCAATTGTTCTCCAATCTGCAATGTGGTCCCTTACTGTCAATTTCATTCAATTGAGTCCTTCAAACATTTAAATCGTAGTCGATTTAGTCCTCCGATCAAATTTCTCTCAAACCAGGATTAAATCCATGGATAATTTGATAATTTCACAATCCACTAAGATTTAGTCCTCCAATTTCCTCCTCGTCGCCGCAAGAAACGAGAACCGCATAAGGAAGTGGTGGACCTGAGAGGCCTATTAACTCAATGCGCGCAGGCTATGGCGAACTACGACGGCCGGGAGTGACAGAGCTTCTGGCGAAGCTCAGACACCACTCTTCTCCGCGCGGCAACAGAATGGAGAGGCTGGCGTTTTACCTGGCCAACGCGCTCGAGGCGCGGCTCAACGGCGCCGGCACGACAATCTTCACCCTCCAATTCTCCAACAACATCTCGACGACGAATATCCTCAAAGCTTACCATATGTACATTAAAGCCAGCCCCCGTTCAAGAAAATCTCAAATATTTACGCGAATCATTACATCATGAAAATGGCGGCCGGAAAACACGCCCTGCACGTGATCGATTTCGGAGTTCTCTACGGTTACCAATGGCCGTGTATGATTCAAGGCCTCTCCAACCGCCCCGGCGGCTCCCCCAAGCTCCGGATCACCGGAATCGATCTCCCCTAGCCGGGGTTCAAGCCGGCGGAGAGAGTGGAGGCCACTGGAGCTAGGTTAAAGAAATACTGCAAGCAATTTAACGTCTCGTTTGAGTTCAAAGCCATAGCCAAGAGATGGGAAACCATAAAACTCGAAGATCTCAAGATCAGGAGGGACGAAGTTCTCGCCATGAACTGCCTATACCGTCTGGAGAACGTGTCGGACGAGACGGTGGTCCCCGACAGCCTGCGCGACATCGTCCTAGGTTTAATCAAACAAATCTGCCCCGACATCTTCATACACGGCGTCGGCAACGGCGCGTACAGCTCCCCATTCTTCACAACGCGGTTCCGGGAGGCCGTCTTCCACTTCTCCACCTTGTTCGACATGTTCGAGGTCGTCCGGGTGCTGGTGAGATTAAATCTTAGTGGGTTGTGAAATTACCAAATTATCCATGGATTTAACCCTGGTTTGAGAGAAATTTGACCGGAGGACTAAATCGACTACGATTTAAAGGTTTGAAGGACCCAATTGAATGAAATTGACAGTGAGGGACCACATTGCAGATTGGGGAACAATTGGGGGACCAAAAGTGCGATTTTCCCATAATACATTTATGATAAAAGTAAATGGAATTAGAAGAACCTTTTTCAAACTGGTCTGATATGTTGGCTAGGGCAGTCCGTTCTCAAACTGATCCGATATGTTGGCTTTCTTCAGTTTCCTCTTGTATTGAATATTTGATTGAAAAAAGTGATTTGTTGTTTCAAAAAAAAAAAAAAAAACAAACAAACAAAAACAAAGAAGAAGAACCTTTCTCTAATATAATTACAGTTAGCAAAATAAATTGGAGAGCCAAACTGCAAAATTAATGTTTATCTTCAATCATAAGTAATTTCTTGCTTGTTATTTTTTTTTTCTTAGATTCCTCATTAATCAAGACAGATAAGTATTTAGTAAGGATTTTACGATAAGAGTAGCGTATATATGAAGATTCATGGAGGGAATTTCTGAAAATTTTACAAAATAACAAATATATCTTTTAATAATTTGAAAATAAAAACAACTTGTTAATATTAACAAAATTTATAAGTAATGGATTGTGCAAATTTCAACATAATTAAAGGAGAAAATTGTATAGAATAATAATTCATCATGAACTAAGTCAACAATTTGATTTTTTTTTTTTAAAAAGAAAAAGTTAACAATTTATGTATAACTAATGAACTAAAATCGTTATTTTGCCTTGAAAAAATATATTAATATATGTGTTGTTTAAAATATTTTAGCATGTTATTTTTAAATTTATACAACAAATAGAGAATAATATATTTAAGGAATTATTGATCAATTGGTGTTACTGACCTATATTATTATTTTTATGAATCTAAATGTTCTCATAAGTTTTCAGGTTTATTTTTATGAATTTAGTCCATTATACCATGTGGTTTCCAGATCTTCTGGTATTCCGGCGACTAGACGCGTGTATGCGAACCTACTCATTACTCATTAGTTTAAGGCCGCGTGTATACGAAGTTACGAACTTAACAATACAATTGATGGGCAATTTGACTTTTCAATGAATTTCGATTTTAATTAATTCATTTTCTGAATTAATTTTTATTTTTTTTTTAGAAAATCTTAATTAGAGCTTTCCATTGATATATTTTTTTGAGAAGGAAAACTTAATTCATTGAATCAGAATGGAGAACGTTCACAAGAAAAGATGGAGGGGAGTCCAGCCACTCCCCGCAACCTGACATAGAAAAGGCCTCCCTAGCAACATAGTGGGCGGCACAATTCGCAGATCGCTTAACAAAATTGAATTCGACATCCCCAATCTCGGATGCTAAATCCTTTACATTTTCTACTAAAAACCAAATGCCGAATTAAAAGACGAGGAATGAATAGCATTGTACACAATTTGTGAGTTCATTTCTACATCCACGGCCCCTAACCCCGTACCCTTGAGCCAACTTAGGGCTTCCCAAACGCACAAGGCCTCAACTTCCTTGACCAAGTAATTCCCAGTTGCAAGCACGTTCTTCGCCGCCATGAACCTCCCACGGTCATCACGTAGTACCCAACCCAACCCCATCCGGCTCTTGCCTTGCCGCACGGAAGCATCGGTATTCAACTTAATTCTGCCAGCTTGCGGTTTCCTCCACTGCTCGACGTTCAGCGACACCCCAGACACTACTGCAACCTCATTCGCACAACGCCACCCTTCCAGAAAATCAAGAGCCCACTGCACCATCATGGCCGAGTTATACGCAACCCCTTTCCAGACATTTTCATTTCTGCTTGACCACATTCCCCAACATACCATCACAAACCTTGGTAAGGAATCAGCATCCAACTTACTAACACACCAAAAAAACCAGTCAAAGATGTTGTTACCTACATAAGTATTTAGGTGCGGCACACCCAATAAATTCCATACACGCCTCGCCTCGGTGCAATTGACAAAAAGATGGATCGCAGATTCCGCAGCCGACCTGCACATATGACAATCGAGTGAACAGGCTACCCTCTTGGAGATCAACGCATCACGCGTAGGGAGATACGCAGATCCCAACTGTCAACAAAAACATTTCACCTTGGGGGAACATATAGGCTCCTATACTTGACCACGGCCGAACATCAGTAACAACCACAGTAATACGCTTATAGCAAGACTTTACTAAATACGCCCCTTTTTTATCCCAATACCAAGACCATTGGTCACAAGGCCTTCGCCTACTAACTGGAATATTCAAGATCAAGTTAGCATCACGGGAGTTAAAAATGTCACTAACACATTCTACATCCCAACCCGTACCTTGTTCGTTTAAAAGAGACGAGACCCGAGCTTCATGGACAGACTGGTGCAGCTCCGTTTCAACATAAGGATTCTGGTCATCAGGCAACCAAGGATCCAAGCCAATGATCGTGTCAGCCCCATTACCCACCACCCTTCTCTCAACATCCCTTGTACCGCCAATATACCCTTCCAAATGTAAGAGGGATTACTACCCTCCGTTGCATCAAAGAAACCACACCTCGGATAGTAACGTGCTTTGTAAACACGGGCAACCAAAGACATAGGCCTTGTAACCAGCCGCCAAGCTTGCTTCCCAAGCAACGCTTTGTTCATCTCATGCAGCCTCCGATAACCCAATCCACCACAAGTTTTCGGCAAACACAACCCCTCCCAAGAGCGCCACCGGATGCCACGGCCACTTCCTACGTTACCAGTCCACCAATACTGATTCATTATCGTCTCAATCTCACGACACAAACCCAGGGGCAAGAAAAAGATCATCCTTGCATAAGTGGGCATTGCCTGGATCACGTTCTTCAACAATACCTCCCTACCCTCTCTTGATAGGAATTTAGCATTCCAAGACCGAATTCTTGCCAGAATTCGAACCTTGATGAATCCCAAAATCTCCTTCTTCCGTTTGCCAACGAGGGAGGGCAAACCCAAGTACCTTCCGCTGGTTACCCCTTCTTCAACTCCCAAAATCTCCACTACCTCATTCCGCACACTTTGCTGAACATTAGGACTAAAACACGCAGGAGACTTATCATAGTTAATGTACTGGCCAGAAGCCTTAGAATAAGTATCCAGAACATACCTCATCTGCACACTCTCACTCAGATTCGCGCGATGGAGCAAGAAGCAGTCATCTGCGAATAGAAGGTGAGAGATCGCTGGGGCACCCCGGGCAACCGTGACGCCATGCAACACACCCCCAACCATTCTCTTCTCCAGCAAAGCACTGAGCCCTTCCGTTACAAAGAGAAACAAATAGGGCGATAGCGGATCCCCCTGACGGAGACCCCTACCCGGTATTATGGGCCATAATTGCCGCTGCTCATGTAGTACACTACACCGCACAGATGTAACCGTTTCCATCATAATATCCACCCAATGCCTGGCAAACCCCAATTTCAACATTACAGCTTCCAAAAACAACCACTCTACCCTATCATATGCCTTAGACATATCCAATTTCAACGCAACCACACCATCTCGACCTTGAGTTTTCCGTTTCAAATAGTGGTGCACCTCATATGCTAACATGATATTGTCCGAGATTAGCCTCCCTGGTATAAAAGCGCTTTGTGCACTGGAGATCAGTTTATGCAGCATGTCCTTTAACCTGTTAGCGCACACCTTCGCCGTTATTTTGTAGACCACGTTGCACAAAGCTATAGGGCGGAGATCCTTCATAATCACCGGGCAAGACTTCTTAGGGACCAACACAATGAACGTATCAGTTGCCTTTTGAGGGAGCTTCGCAGAGTCAAGAAACTGCTTACAAAAAGACCAGACCTCCCCGCCCACTATATCCCAGTAGTGTTGAAAAAACCCGGGCCGAAACCATCTGGTCCAGGGGATTTATCCGGATGCATTTGAAACGCCGCAGACCGCACCTCTTCCATATTTAGCGACCGTAGTAAACCTGCATTATCCCTATCGGTAACCCTTTTAGAAACAACATCGATAACCTCCTGCATGTCCCCATAATCATGTGAGAACAACTCCTCAAAATAGGCCACCATCAGACCACCCAAGCCTTCCTCATCTTCCACCCAATTACCCTCATCATCCCGCAGCCTAACCACCTTATTCCTTCGTCGCCGGGCCTTCACAAAATTATGGAAGAACTTGTTAAACATCACCCCCCTTATACCAATGCTCTTTGGCCCGCTGCTTCCAATACATTCTCTGTTGTTCAAGCAAGAATAAAAGCTCCTTTTGTGCAGCAGCATAACCACTCACCCCGATCCCATCACGTCGTAAACTCAACCTATCCATCTGATGCTTACAACAATCTATCTTTTGCTGGAAATCCTTATTGTAAAGACGACCCCATTGGCCAATATCAGTGGCACACATTTCAACCCTAGAAACAGTATCCAAACCTGGGGACCGGTTCTAACTGTGCACAACAATTCCCCTGCAGGTGTCCTCCCGAAGCCACATATTGTCAAAACAAAACCTTGACCGTCTTCTTACTCCGGGCAAAGCAATGGGCGTTACCATCAGAGGCGAATGATCACTATAAGGTACTATCAAAGACTGTGCCCTAACCCCCTCAAACAGAATGAGCCAATCCACAGACGCTAGGACACGATCCAACTTTTCTTCCACCATACGGTCAGTTCCCCGTGATTTCACCCACGTAAACTGGTTCCCACTAAAAGGAACATCCTGCAGCCCACAATCATCAACTGCCGCTTTAAAGCCATTAATCATCCACTCTGGGTGTGGCATAAAATTACCTGAAGTTACATAAAATTTAGAGTTAATTCTCAAAATAATCCTCCGACTATGTCCTTTTCTCAAATTGGTTCATTGACTTTTAATTGCACTCAAAGTAGTCTTCCGACTATAAATTTTAAGTTAAAATATCATCCGTTATTCTTAGTCTGAGGCATTTAGTCAATAATTCACTTTATTTCTCAAACGCTATAAGTTTTCTTTTTCAATAACAAATGAAAATCTTATTGTTAGTTGGTTTTGTTATAGACTTGTGACTTTTCTCGAAGGTTGGGGTTTTTTCCTATTTTTGCATTTTTTCATTGTGTTTTGCAATAAATCCTTTCTTTACAAAAAATCTTTATAAAAACAACAATGAAATCATTTTAATTTGTTTTTATTACAAATTTTAAAATATTGATTGTAATTTGACACATAAATACCTTAGTTTGAAAACTGAATTGGATTACACATCAACGATTTTTAACTAATTATCTTATGGTATAGATATCCTACAAAAGGACTCAATTGCACTATTTTTGTAGGTTCAAATATGCATTTGGAGCTTAGTTTAATGGTTTAATTGTTACTTTGATGAAAGTTTAAGGCTTATTTGACCATTATCTCTTAATTTAAATAAATTTAAAATACATACTTTAACATATAAAAACTATTGGAAAAAAATGATCAAATATGCCCTTACACTTTATACGAAAAATTATTTAAGCATTCGAACTTTTAAAAGTTACAATTAAGCCATTGAACATGTCATTTTTGTGTGTTGAAGCCCCAAATCCAATTAATAATGACTTGTAATAGCATATCACTAGGTTTCAGAGAGACTCCGATGATTAAATTCGGTGACCGGCAACTAACGAACGGTTGCTGGTTGCCTTTGAAGAAGGCGACCAGTAGGTCGCTTTCTTTGGTGAAAAAAGTGAACAGATTGTTGGCTTCTCTGATGAAGAAGGTGACCACTAATCGGCTTATGCTCTGAGAAGGCAACATAGATGTTCATCTTCTTCTCATCGAGTCGTCAGAGAAGGCTACCTTATGACCACCTTATTTTCATAGGAGAAAGCGAGCATCTAAGTTGCCTTCTTTAAAGGCAATCGACAATCGACAACCATTCGTGAACCCCACCCGATTCCTGCTCTTATCGTTGTTGGGGAAAGAAAAACTTTCCCCATTCCTATCTTCCCTTTCCTTAGTTTGGCTAACCAAACTATTACCTTTATCAATATTCAAGTACAATAAATATAAATATTGAGTTCTTAAGTATAAAATAAAATACTTAAATCTTCATTAAATCCTCAATAACAATTGAAATTTCAATATAAAATGTGAATAATATTCATTCAAATGAAAACACAAATAGGCAATTACAAAATGCTTACACATTTAATATCAAAATACAATACAAATAATCTTTATAATAGTAGTAGCAATATAATAATAATAATAATAATAATAATAATAATAATAATAATAATAATAATAATAATAATAATAATAATAATATAAAATAATAATAATAATAATAATAATAGTCAGCTTTTCAGTTTTTTTTTTGTTTGTTTTTTTTTTTTAATTTCCTTTTATATATTTTGTTTTGTTTTGTTTTGTTTTTGTTTTTTGTTTTTTTTCAATTTTCTATTTCCTCATATTTTCTCTTATCTAATCACACTTACAAAACTCCTCAAAAACCACACAAAAAACTTACTATTGAGGATGCCTTAACGGCACCGTTATTTCAGACGCGCAAAACTGGGTCGTTTTGGACTTGGGTCCACCTTGCAAGGTGGACCGGGGTCCATGACATATCAATTGGGCATTTTATTGTGGACCACGGTCCATAATGTATTGTAGTCCAGACATCAAAACGGTGCCGTTTCTTTTAATGAAAAGAAACGGCACCAGTTTCTCACCATTCCACGCCGTTCCACAAAAAATAACTCTGTTTGTCAGTTTCATTTTATATACACTGCACTTTCATTTCAACACAACTACAATTTCATTTCGATATAACTATAATTTCATTTGACATTATAAACTCAAATATG